TATAAGTTTGTAAGACCGGGTTTGTGCTTGAGTGGTGTTGGATCAGCTATTGTAGACGGATTTGACAAACATGCATGTGTAGATCACAATGATACAAGTATATGTATGTGGCTATATCCTTATGTGCAGATATAAAAATTTTACATAAACGCCTATGTGAGTTTGAATGTACATATGTCAGGAGCGGATTCAGGGGGAGCCGGGGGGTTTGGGTGTGACAAAACAGGCGAAGATCGATTGAACGGGCTTGCGTTGCCGAGACGTGGAAGGTACGAACGAAAATGTTACCGACATTATGTAAAAAGAAAAAACAGGAAGATTGGATATAATGTTATAGCATAAAACATTGTTAAATATTGTGACAAAAATCATTACACTAATAGTTGTGAAAAATTCATTTAATAAAAATACAAATCAATATGAGGTTCATAAATATTTAGGAAAGGGGCGAAGGGGGGTTTCCCGAAATAATTTTCAGGATCCGCCCCTGACATATGTCGTTTGGCCTGTATTTATGTATTTCTGTATGTGTTTTTTGCGCTAATGAATGCGCGCAAATGACTAGCGCAAATTACAACAAACTTGAGCGCCACAAAAATGGCAAAAATAAATGTGCAAAAATCGCAAACAATGAAAAGGCAGAAACATATACATACATATATACCAAAATAAATACATACATACATACATAAATTCATTTTTACATGCCAAAGTGTACATAAGTATCTGCATATAAAATAATTTTCGCCATAAAACTGAAATGAGTCATGAACTCTTCAAAAGGCATAATGCTAACGCGAATGCGTTGCGAATTGCGCTAACGCATCGCAACGGTGGTGGCTGACAATTGGCGGTAAGCGGACGGGCGCGCACTCATACACACTTTTATACAAATGTATTGTTAATCAAAATTTGTTTGTATTGGTGCCAGCCGCGCTACAGTGCCGCTCCAACGCTTCTCGGGCGTACTAAGTACAAAAAAACTTGGAGCGCGGTGCGTTTTGTGAGGAAGATGTGGTAGCAAAATTCGCGAAAGTTTGCACAAACAAAAATTATTTGCCTTTTTTTTGTTGTTTGCTATCTTTTATTTCTTTATTCTTTGTCTTTGATTTGTGGTTTTTTTGATGACTTAATTTATTTTTAATTTTTTGTACACATTTTTTGTTACCTCCAGCTGTTCGTTAGCTTGTATTCCCCTTGTTTTCGGCAATTACTTTGCGTTTTATCCCCAGCCATTTTTAGCTCTGAGATTTTCTTCTGTACCGCTTTATATCTTCTTCCAGAAAAGTTTTAATAATAATATTGTTGTTTTTAATTTTTGTAGTCATTGTATCCACCGTAGGTTTGCTGTTGATTGTTGGTCTTCGACACGAGCTTAGTTAATTCAAGTGGATTTTGGCTCACTGGACTTCAAACTTGAGATCAGAAATCAAAGACTTTCTCGGTGTTTCTGTCTAACCTCAAAAATCTACCATAAATGTACCACAGGAGTAAGATTTTTGCAGCTAGAAAGAAAAACTAAATATTTTTTAATTCTGTTTCTAGACACTTCAGCGAGGCTATTGTTAGCAGTATAAGTAAGCTTCTAATTGTTTTTATGAAACTGATGTTTGAAATTTATTTATCTACTTGTATATAGTACATTAGGGTGGTTAAAAGGAAAGTAAAGAAATGAAGAGAAACAAAATTTTCCAGTCGAAAAATATTGATTTTCAAGAATCCCATACCATTTCTACGAAAACTTGTTTTTTCACTATATAAAATACATGGACAACTTGAGCGCTTTAAGCGACCTTTAAATATTTTTTAATTTCAAAATAAAAAGATTTGGGCTATATTTTTTCGGTATAGAACAATTTATGGGGTGAGAGCATAAAAACGAAAATCTTGTCTAGATATGTATGTATTCAAATCTCCCCAGTCCCGAAGATTTGATTTCATTTAAGCCGTAACTTGGCTGAGATAAGCACTTTCTGCATGTATTTCAAAGCGAAAAATTGTGATTTAGTTCTATATGAGAACAAAATATAATGTCAAGAACATTCCCACAAAAGAGCCAAATGGGAACAAAACTACTCGGGTAAGCGGCCGCCATATGGATATATGAAGAATCAGTTGAAACGGTTTGTATTAATGAGTCTTTTACCTGTAGGGAAACGCTCTAGTGCCGAACTGGTTCGGTTCTAGGGAATTTAGAGAAACGACTAGTATGCGTCGACGAAGTTTCAGTTACCACCCGCTGAATCCCTTTTTGATAGTCCCGAACCAGTTTTAAATTCGACACCTTAGATCTAGATATCTAATGTAAAGTTATTGTATTCTTTGGGACTTATTTTAATATCTGTGCCTATTTTGGACTTGGCAAATTCGCATATAAATATCGACGCCTCCAAACCATACCAAGCTAAAAGCAGAAACAGACGGCCGTGTTGATCCGGACCAATTCGGGGGAATTACTGCGGTTGATCCGGATTAAGTCCGAGTTAATCCGGATCAACGCCGCCCTCTGTTTGAGCTTTAAGTCTCCTTACACTTAATCAGACTTAGCAAGCGGTATGTTGCTTTAAAAAAGTAAAATAAAATAGTTTTGCGAAAGGACTAAAGTTTGCTACTTTTGAGCTAGGGAGGATCTAGTTACTACATAAGACCGCCCCGAAATATAGCGTCCCCGATAATAAGATGCTAATAACCAGTGTTGGGAGTTTAAGGTACTAAAAACTTGAAAAAAAAAACGCAAAATGAGCTCTGAAAAAAGGAAACAAAGACAACATTATTTTCTAATTTTGTTATGTATGTACTTCCTTTATATACAATGTTCATGTCCAATTAAATATATAAAAAAAATACATACAGTAGTCAAAAAATTATAGCCTAACCACTTTTTGCCAAGTTTGAATGTATTATTTTTGTTTTTATTTAGTTTTGGTTATTTTTTTTTATAAAAATATAGTTCATTCTTTAAAAAAAAAAACGCGAAAAACCAAGTTTACAACTTTGTGCAATATAAAAAAACTTCAACAAACCTTCGATAAATTTCGAGGTTTTTTTTTTAAATTCTGAAAAATCAACCGTAATTTTTGGCATTTGAAATGTGTACTTTATTCTACTAGAATTCAATGGGCTACAAAACCGCATACTCAGAAAAAATTAACAAACTCGAAATTTTTACAAAAATTTCTTGAATTTGTATACATATTTTTTTTTGTTTAATTGGGATAGGATTTGCACAAAATTTTGGCAAATACCCAATCGTGTAACACTGCCTTTAAACTTGTATTTATACGGATGTTGTTAAGGAATGAACTATAAAAAGACTAACCAAAATTAAATAATAACAAGAATAATATTTTAACACTAGGTCATTGTCAAAATTCGGTGCAGCTATAATTTTTTCGACTACTGTACATAAGTTGACTATGATTACTTGGCCGTGCTATCATAGTAGCACAATGCCACTAATATTTGACTTAAAAATTTCAACGCTATTTATGTAAAATATTTTATTTTTATCAGTATTTTTCTTCTAATAAACTATGTTGAAACAAAAGTGAAAATTAAAAACTATTTTTTCAGAATCACCCCCCGAAAAAATTCCTACGGCTACGACTCTGATTGCCCCATATAAGCCTAGTTGCTTTTTGGCGATAAAGAACTAATACTGAACTAGAAGTTTCATTCACTAGTTCGGGTTTGCTTTGTAGGGTTCCTAGAGGGTGTGGATATACATATATGTATATAAACACCTAAACATTCATGCTCGTGTATGTTATTTATATTCTATTTCGTTAACTACTTTTATTTATAGACAATATCTGCACATTGAGTAAGTACGAGAATACCTACATACATATATTAAATTGCAAAAAAAACGCGAATGTATGTACATAGATTCATGTATACTATACAATCACAATATTTGATTTATTTATTTTTGTCTCTGGTATCTCACTTTTCGCGTGCATTAGTGGGGTGCCACATTCGGTTGTCTGTAAATACATACATCAGCACATACTTCCCGAGTACATAGGTACTCGTACATTGTACAATTAGTGATCGGTTTAATTTACATATCTGCGAGATACAATTCGAATTCGCATTCGTGCTCGTTCTTTTACTTACCCAACGCGCTTACTTAGCAAATTTATGTATGTATGTATGTATGTGCAAATGTATGTATATGTCATTCTGCAACTAAGCCTCAGCCTTAGCCTCCTCCCTAGACCGGATTTGTCTCCATCAGCACCCATTCAATTGTCAGTTTGGTTGTCATTCATAGCTCGCCGCAATTTTTACGTATAATTAACTAAATTGGCAGTCAACTCGCACTACGCATGGAGTACAATTTTTTTTTCATTTGCGAATATTTCTTTCTTTTTTATTATATATGTATATATTCTTAAATGCCGTTTTATAAATTTGGTGCTGTGTTTCTCTTAATGATTGCTCTTCATAGTTTATCGACTTAACGTCAAAACGTCTTCTCTAAGAAAATGCCCAAATTCTTAAATTTTTCACCTGTTGGGTTCGAATTGTTAAAGATGTGAATTATCATGTATTAGGTTCTGAAAGGCAAAGCTTGCAACTAAAGTTTTTTTTTTTTTAATTTTCAGTTTAAAATGTTTTTAATTTTAGGTTATTCATTGAAGTATAACTTCTGTAAATATTTTTAATCGCTTTTTAAGTTGAGTACATGTTTTACCACACCTATGTATGTACTTGCATTGACATGTAAATATAAATGTAAGTATATACGTATTAATTTGTGCTATGCCTTATGCTTTTGCCTCATTAATGTCACGCTGATTTATGGTTTGAAATTTTTTTCTGCGGCTGCACGTTTGACCACATGCCTTGTCGGTTTTTTAGACGGCTGCGTTGTTTTTTTTTTCAATTTTAATTAAACGCGAAAGTGACGTGTAAGATCCCAATTTCTTTTCTAATTAGTATAAATTTTGTATATTATTTTTTTCTTACACAGCTTATTGCTCATAAATACTCACCACAATTAAAGAAGGTGTCTGCTTTATTCCGTTATCTTCTGTGGTGTTCCAGATATTGATCTGATATTTGTGATGCCGAAGATAGAATGTGCTGTTTTTATTTAGATTATCTGAAAGAGAGGAGAGAGAAATTGAACTTATTAAGTTAAAGAAATTGATTATCAATAAATCTAAGAAAATCTAATTGTAAAATATTACAATTTTTTAAACAATAAATTTTTTAATTTTTTTGATATTTTTGTATTTTATAATAGTTATTGAGATATATATAAAAAAAATAAAATTGCAAAACAGCGGAAAATGTAAAATTAAAAAATTTGATTTTTTGTCTTCCCTTGGCAGAACTTCATTCTATGATAAAAGAAAAACTCTGGCCAAAATTCATCTAAATCAAAAATGGTCCTAACTAACAGAAATTTCCAAATTGAGGAACCAGTTTTATTAGGCAAACAACAATTGATAACACCGTGCGACAAAAGCAAAAAAAAATAAAATTCTAAACACATGAAGCAATCAATATACTCACGAAACTATGGACCAGTTTTTCTCTCTAACGTTAACATTTTTTAAAGGACTTCGTAGTTTCAAAGATATGCCTAATTCCAAGAATTATTTAAAAAATTCATTCCAATGTAGGAAAACAGTATGGGTGCCAAATGAAAAAGAAAGTTCTTTATAATTAAATTAAATTTTTTTTACTATATTTGGCCCATAGTTTCGCGAATATATAAAGTTTTCTGTGTGTAAAATTTACTGTCGCGCGGTGTAAATAATAGACAACTTTGTTAAAAAAATATGAAAAAATAAGGGAACAAAATTTTGAAAAAACCGCATACATAAAAACTTAGAAAAAAAATACACTGTGATTAGCGAAAATGCAGATATTTTTTTTTATAATTTCAACTAAAAACTTTTTTGAAAAATATTTTAAAACAAGTCATTTTTAGCAAAAAAAACGACTTAAACAAATATATATATTTATGTTTATGTTTCATGATCCAATGATTGGCTCTAAACTAGATTAGTATGGGACTACCTCTGAGACACTACCATTTCGATGCCAAAATAATTATCGAAATCGGTTGACGTGGTCCAAAGTTATGCCGTAGGTAACATACATAAAAAAAATAAAAAATAAAAAAATATTCCGAAGAACTGATAACCTCCTCCTTTTTTTGAAGTCGGTTGAAAATTAATAGAAGATCTCATCTGCGCACATATTGGCCAATTCAAATTTTTGGACAGATTTGGTTTGTAAATTATTCTATCTCCCGCTTCTGGATAAACGCGATTACATGGAAACTTTTTTTCATATAATATGTAGTAAAATGGTTATTTTCGGGTTCATTACATTGAAAAAATAGTTTGAACGAATTTGCGTATATAATGCCTTCTAAAGCCTGCTTAGCAATCGGCAGAGAACCCTTAACCCACTTAAACAAGCTTTACTTACAAGAGGGTCAAACGATTGAGTAAAGACATCTATATCTGAATGCCCACTCATTATCCCAATCCAATCTATCTGAGTTTTATTTACCAAGATAAAGTCGGCCATGTCAGTTGAAATAAACACATTTGGCCACAAAAGGAACTCTCTGGCTTTTAAGCAACGAAGAAACACATTGTGCGTACACGTTGCTTTTTAGGTATTAATACAAAGGACATCAAATAAAGAAGAGAGTGTCAAAAAATGCACTACCACACCCCTTCGGTTGCAGTTAATGCTCTCACAAAAATACAATAACAACAATTTAAATTAAATCGCTTTGTACCGAAGAAAAAACGAGCAGACACACCCACTTGCACACGTCTTGAGTCCTTGCACTCCTTTGCAGCTCTTACAAACATACAACGGGAGAAGAAAAAGACTTTTGTAGGTATACTTGGCGAAAAAGTGCCACTGAGCAGTCACAACAAGCGAATGAGTACTTAAAGCTAAAACACAAAAAAAAATTGTAATCAATGTAAAATTTAGCTCAGAAGAGAGAATAAAAAAATGTTATTTGTAGGGGTTTTGCTGAATGGGCCAGGATAAAAGGAAGTGGTATTGGACTAGGTTGAATGGTAAAGGGTGTGACAATAATTGCACCTAGAAATTCTAGGTAGAAAGTGCTGAGCAAACATGTGTGTAGTTTTAACATTACATTCGGTTATAGCTAGCTTTATTAAAGCTTTTAAGTAGAGTTGGAGTCGTTTGCCACCTTTTTGCAAGGTTCATTGAAGATACAGCAATCGCTCACTTTTCACGAACATTTATAAACATTCGAGGGTTTTTTTTTTGCATTTTTCTAAACAAAGAAAACTTTTGGATTTTATTTCTTAACAAAGAAAGTGTATATAACAACAGCAAGTCAAAACACAAAGACAAAGCCAACCACGAAACAGTAACACTAGTCCGTCTAACAACAATTTAAGTCTACAATTTATGTATGTAGACTCTATATGACTTTCAATACCCTTGCAAATGACTCGTGCCTAGCCATTCTGATTGATGCGGTTTGTGTTTGTGGTTTATGGTTGAAAGCCTCTATCTTCTTGAAATCTCGAAATTAACACAGTTGGGTATGTGAAAGAGAAAACCGAACGACTGCTGACTTCTGATAGAAGATTGACTAATTTTAGTAAGCTCCATTTTCAAGAAGATTTCACATATGAGCAAATCTCATGAGTTGTTTTTTGCCTCTCTCGCCGGAGAAAAAAAGCTAAAGCATTATTCCAATCAATGGAGTTCTTGAAACAAGTAAAATAAAAAATAAATCAAGTATTTGCACAATTTTAGCCTTAAAACGCTTATTTGGGCGAAAAAGTACGGAAATTGTTCATTTTTTCATTGTCACTCGAAAAAATCATAAAAGTTTTTTTAATAACTTTGGAAAGTTTTCAAATAGAATGTTCACATGTTAGAGTAAATGGACCTTGGCATCAAACACAACATATCTGTGGAGTTTCAAGAGTGTGCCAACAATTTAAAAAATGGCATCGTTCACTATATATCTGTCGCAGCTATTTTGTAATTTTTGAAATTGTATGACTCTTTAATATTAATAATTTTATGTACTTGAAAATGTTAAAATTAAACAATGAAAATGATAATGAAACGAACGAATCTAGTTTATCACAAAAAAAAAATTACATTGACTAAAATATGACAATGATTTGAGAAACTAAAATTCCATTTTTACAATTTTTATTAGCAATTCATTATAGAATTGTTATGTACATGAACAAAGTAATATGCGTGTATGTGCACAAGGAATACTGTGTGAAAATTTTCCACGCCAATATTTAATTACTTTTAAATAATATTACCTATATGTTAAGGCGTGCGAGTAAACGTGTTAAGTGACTGCGTATGATAATACGGGGCGTATACGTTACAAACGCAACTACAGGTATACATACATATGTATGAGCATGTGTGGTTATTTTTCTTTTATTAGTATATCTTTTTGAAATTTTCTTTTAAATACAATTTCGCGTTGGAATCTTGTACTTTATACAAAAATGAAGATAATGCATTTTTTTTTTGATGATGGTGAGAGCAAGAATCGAAACATGGAGCTACCGATCGGCCGTACCCACCACTGAGCACTCGGTTACGGCGGCAAGAGCACTAACTTAAATCAAAAAGAAATGCAGCAAAAATTCAATAAATGCATTAAAAAAAGTTCAAACAATTTCGATAACTTTTCGCCGTTTTTTGTTTTTTATTTCAAAGGAAGGGGTTTCTTCAAGCTGACATTTTTCGAATAACTCGAAAACACGGTTTGAAAAATAAAATTAAATAATCGAACACCACTCGATACCATTGAAGTCTAAACAAAAAGAAAAGAATTACTTCAAAAACTTCCACAAGCCGTGTCAAGGTTAAGTTGTAGAAGCTGCCTTTTTTCTGCTCGTTCATGGAAGTATGTATAATAGCAATTACTAAGTGAAAATCTTATTTTCTTTACGCGCTTAAATCTGATAAACAATCGAAAAAGTTTGCGTTAAGATAATTTCCACCGGAGTCTCACCAAGACCGAACAATAGCATAGAAATTTCTCGACGCTTATGCTTTTTTGTCCCTAAAGAAAATTCAATATTAATGACTATATTTGCTCTCTGGAAAGCCTATTTTTCTGCCATGCTTTCCTTCGGATAATAATCAGGAATGATACCCACAACCGTCCTGAGCGGAGAGTTTTAAGCCAAAGTCTATAAGATGAGCCGCTAGATAGTAGTTATTTATAGCAGAACTTAGCTTGGAAACAGAGCTTTATTGAAATTCCCGACTCGTATACACCACTTTTTATCAATCCAGTTTTGATTTGTCTGTAGGGCAAAGTGTGCTGAAGCCCATTCGTTCCTGGCGATAATCGTATAAGTTGAGATTGTCTAGTTCATGCACTTTAAATTAACAGTGAAGATTTCATTTAATTTAATTTCATTTCATTTATTAATCATTGTACATGCATTAGTACAGTAAGATTAAGAAATCATTTTATAGTACATATACTCACCAGAATATGTTTCCATACAGAAAGTTTTTTTAATATTTACAACGTTTTTCGAAATACATTTTTTTCGTTAATTTTTAATAGAAATATAGTTCATTCTGTTCATATATATATATTTCATTTTTAGAAAATTTAGGAAACTCGACGAATTTTCACCAAACAACTTCAACTTAAAAAAAAATTTATATTTTTTTTGAGTATGCAGTTTTGTAGTTCGCTCAATTTTAGTATAATCAAGTGAAATTTTTTCTTACTAACGCTCTTCGGTATTTTTTCCCATACAAAAAACAAAACCATACATATGTAGTCATAAGTGGGCGGTGCCACGCCCATTATCCAAAAATTATGCATAATCTCATTTATTGCTAAAAAATTATTGCAGACATCAATTTGGAGTAAAGTAACTTCGGCAGTTACCGATTTTTCGAAGTTTTCGTATTTCTGTAAATTACCGATATATTCGAGGTGGGTGTGGTTATCGTTCGATTTCAAATTATTTAAAAAGTTTCTTAGCTTCACGCGACCCAATATTCGTATGGGTTTGTGAAGTGGCTAGGAAGATAATGTATTTCGTCATAAGTGGGCGGTGCCACGCCCATTCAAAAAATTTCATAATTATCTTATTTTGGGCCAAAATTCGTCTTCACATTCCAAATTTCCGTGCAACAAGCATTATTCGAGAATAACGTTATATGGAAGGTGGGCGTGGTTATCGTCCGATTTCGCCCAATTTCAATAGTAACGCTCACTTTTCGTCCGAGCTATCGTGTACACGGACAGACTGAGCATTTTGGTATTAATATGTCTATATCTATTTCGATTCCTGTAAGCTGCACTCGGTTATAAAAACTGTGGAGGAACCATTGCGCTCCAGGAAACTCCATAAAAATTAAAATAGTTTCAGCTTTCGAGTTTTATGTATATCTTTGTTAAATATAAAAAAAAATTATAAATATAAAGTAATGTTTCCAAACCCAAAAACGATTCTTAGAATTCTATCACAATTAAGCTTCAATTACCAATTAATTCCACTTCAACTACTCATGTAACACCGCATAAGTGCTGCCAAATTGCTCAAGCACATCCTGCTGCCCAATAACAACAACATGAACTCATCAGCAAGCACATCCTTAACATCGCCTATGCCAACACTGGATTACGTTCAGAAACACTTTTACTATCTCCAATAAGCAGCGCCTACTCAAACACAATGCCGCCGTCGCCGCCAGACGTTCTAGACATGTTGTTATTATTGCTTTTTAATTTTATTTTAATTTTCGCACCGGCAAAACAATTTTAATTTTTTGATCTATTTGCCAAGAAAAATCGACGCTGCCAACGTTGCGTTATGCTATTTTATTCATATGCACAAATACATATGTATGTATCTAGATATAGCATGCACATATGCATGTATGTAGATTAGATATTGTATCTACATATTTCAAAAAGTAGTTGTTGTTGCTTGAATTGTTGTTGCTCGCTGGTTGACTGCCTCAAACATAGCATAGTACTTGGGTTTTTGCCTTTTTTCCGGTCGCGCTGTTGTTTTGAATTTTCACGTTTTCTGCTTTAACCCCACCGAACCACAGGTCGTACCGTTGTTTTTGCAGTGGCATATCGCTGCGCCTCGGCCATCGCTATTTCGCTGGCGGATAGATATTATGTATATATGTATATTTTCTACAAATACATTTTCTTTTTTTGTCAAAAGTCGCAACCCCTTCCGGCACAGTGAGGATACATTCTTAGTGTAGGCGAATTAATAGATACGACGAACGGAATGCACACAAACACACTCACTCGCTATGTTGAAACAGCAGCAGCAGCAAAAAAAAAATGGATTAAACAAAAATACCGAAAACAAATATTGCAAATTTTCACTCGTTTTATTTTTCGTTTTCTTTTTATTTCACTTGCGTTTTGAAAATGTTTTATTTTTTTTTTGTGTGCTAATTCTGCAGTGTTTTCATTTTTTTATTACTGAAAATATTTTTTAGGCGTTTTTCTCCTTTTTGGAAAAAATGTTCTGACTTTCGCTTGAATTGCAATTCGCAGCCGTCGGCTGAGACCACAAAGAGTAATAAATCCAAAAAAATCAACGAGCCGCCGAACGACCCACCGAAAGTTGTGTTGCTGCGAAATGCGGCGAAACGGCGCGCTGAATTGCTGTGTGTGCTGCTGAGCACAAAAACGACCAAACGACCACGACAACGATGATGGGGGACAGACAGCAGCGCAGCGACACAACGAATAATTCAACCAACAAACGAATGAATGTTCAATACAATAACAGATAGCATACAAACAACAAAACAGGCGCAACAACAACAACAACAAATGGCCACACACACACACAAGCGCATGCCATACACACACCTAACACTAAAGCCGCAATTGACTCAAATCTCTGAAAAAAACTGACAAAGCTGCACAGAAACATACAATCAGTGCTCGGGAAAGCTCATAAATACATACATATGTACTAGGGATGTTAATTTTTGCGATCCCGGCATTTTCGAGACCACGTTCATACAATCCCGCGATCCCGGGATCCCGGGATTTAGATGTTAGATTATTTTCCAACAACTTAACATGAAAAAATTGCATCAATATAGATTGAGAAGCTGTCCTTCCATAACCTGCTTTATTATTTAAGTCTAAAACTATTTCATTAGTAACAAAACAAAAGTCAGTAATTAAATGTATACGCATTTAACAATACTTTAGCGTGTGCATATGTACATATATGATAAAGTAACTTAAGGCAAGTCGAAAAAAGCTCGATGAAAAAAAAGAAATTGACACAACATATCGCACACCGTCTTCAAAAGAGTCACAACTCAAAATTTGGCATTTTTGGAAATTATACGCTAAAATGTACACAGAGCTGGAGCAAATTTTTGCTATAATTTGTTAAAAAAGAACCTAAGGTAAAGTCGTCTTTTACCATATGATTAGCATGCGCAACGAAATAGTTTTTCGCATTTTCTGACGAACGCATTGTTTTGAGTTGTGACTCTTTTGAAGACGGTGTGCGATATGTATTGTGTAGCTGAAAGAAGTTCAAAATTTGTCCAAAAATTATAAAAATGCAAAAAAAAGCTAATATCAAACTTATTGCTCAGCATTTTTAGAAAAAATTTGAGGTACGCAGTTTTATAGTTACTGAACACCCTTGGTTTTCGGAAATTTTTTAAACGAAGCTGGGCATTTTCTTCATTATACACAATTTGCTGAACATAGTTTGTATGAAAGAAAATGGGTGACACCGCCAGCAAAAAAATTATAAAAAATCAAAGTTACTTTTAGTCACTTGAAACTTGCACTTTATACTTCTGTTATTTAATGGGTTATACTTATAAAATTGCATACCTAGAATTTTTCTAAAAATTCTGAGTAAAAAGATTGAAAAAGTTGGAAATAAGAAAATTTCAAAACACACCAAGCAATCAATACACTCACGACACTATGGGCCAAATATAGTAAAACTGCGGTTTTAGTTTTAGATTTTTTTTAGTAGAACTTTGTAAATTTCAAAGATATGATAAATTCTAAAAATTATGTAAAAAATTCAGTGCAATGTAGAGCTATATTCGAGGATGTTGTCAAGTTTATATTTTAAGGATTAATATATCTATATAATTTTTTCAAAATAAATATTGCAAAACTTCAAGTATAAAATTTGTAATGCCATTTTCAATACCTTATGCACGAAAATACTTTAATTCGTGGCAAATAATACCGGGATTTTCGGCACTTAAAAGGGCCGGGATCCCGGGATTAGCATCCCTAATATGTAAATATGTACATACAGCAATAACAATCAGCGCAAATCGAACTAAAACTTAACGCCAAAACACATTCGTTTACTCGTTTGCAAATTTTTAGTTTTTGTTTGTTGCAAAAATTAAAAAAAAAAACGTTTACAAAAAAAATTAATTCGCCACACTCGTCATTGTGTGTGGCGATGATAGATAAATCACACACACACAAAAGTAATCGAAAAAAAATCAAACACACTTGCAGCGCCACACAGATACGCACGCACACATTGCCAGCGCGCTCCCCATACTTGACACTGTGTTGGTAGCGGCGCGCTGTTCGCTCTCACTCACACTATACTGTACGCGCGCCACGCCGGCAAACAAAATTATCTAATTCTACACACTAATGCAGCGCCAAAGAGGCCGGCGCTCACTTCGTTGCAACACTCGTGGGGAGCGCGCGCTCCAAACTACTCAAATCGGCTGAGCGCCGCCCCCCCACGTCCTTCATATACTCGTCCAAAAATCGGGCGCTCTAATTTATGCGCGTAAGAAAATCAAGAGTTCTCTAAATCATAAACTCTCCGTAGACTAGGCGCTCGCCCAAAAATACATAAATGTTTCCTAAATCGCTCATCATTCGCTTTAAAAATTCTCTAAACTACTACATGGTAAATCATGCTCTCTAATTCACTCACTTTCTAAGCTATTCTGTTTTGCTCTCCAACCATTTCAACAACTCTACCTCAATCATGCATTCTCACCTGCATTGTATAGTCTCACGGCGCTCATCGAACTAACAAAATCATTCACTTAATTCCTATGCATGTTTGCGTGAGTCATGCACCACTCCCGTCTCCCTACCCCTGGCGACGCGTATAGAGTACTATGTGACCCTTAGTGGCAGTGTGCTAATGTATTTTATTGCTGTCCGGGAATTCGTAAGCTTAGCGCTCCATCGCATAAACTACAAACGCTGGGCGCATAGTGGAGTGGAGAGGAGTAGTCGCACATATTTTTAGAGATACTCGTAGCTTCATCAATTCGGGCAAACATTTCTCTACAAAGTAAAAAAGTCAGCACAGAAAACCTTCAAAGACTATGTACATATATGCAGTCACATCTGCCCACATAAATTTTTTCTTTTCGTTTTGCACAAATTCGTGCTGTTTGCTAGACGCCGCGCTGCGCTGTGTACTTTTATGCTGTTGAACTGTGGTTACGTCGTCTTTTTCGTTTCGATTCGTTGTTCTTTTTTCCCTTTTCAGTTCTATGCTTTATTCGTTTGTTCGCCTTTGCTTCACGGCTATGTTTGGAGTTTTATTTGCTTAACAAGCAACACTTAAGTTGATGAAGTACCTTTTGCTGTTTAACTAGTTAAAGTGTGGTACTTTTTAACATGGCGTTGCAGATTTTTTGCTTCTAAAGTTGTAAATATACTTTACTTAAGATATATAAATATATACTAAACTACTAAAATATTTACTAAACTTTGTGTTATTTCTTCAATAGTGCGCATACACCTTAAATGCACAGCTGGATTTATCAACTGTCAATATTATCTGCCGACTGAGTCTTCTGGCATCAGCTGCTACATTTAAATAATTTAACATTTTCGTGTGTTGAACTCATTTAATTTTTGATTACAACGTAGCAGTCATGTGGAAATTGCGAAAGGCATACATACATACATACATATACACATAGGAAACATGCCCATTATTTTTTGCAATCAAAGGAGACTGCTTTCCTCTACTCCAAGGGAGCTCCTAAACTCGTTTGATGAGGAGACCAACGGCGAAGTTCTTCAAGCTGCAAAAAGAATTGAAGATATTAAGTCCCCCGGTCCAGACGGGGTTCCTAATTTTGTTTTGCAACCAGCTATCATCAATTTTCTATGTATCGTCGTTCATGGATTTATTTAACTCATGCCTAGCCCAGAGAACATTACCATCAGTTTGGAAGAGGCAAATGCTTGTATTGCTGTCTAAACTAGGTAAACCTCTAACGGAACCTTCCGGTTGCAGGCCCATATGCCTGCTCGGCTCGTCGAAAACGAGGTCCGAGCTAAAGAAAATAGAGATCCACTATTCACTCAGTAAACTTTGTTACCCAGCTGACACGTGACGCAACAAGTGGTTCGAGTTGGCTCTTGGAGGTTCTAAGGAGTATTGCTTAGTAGTAAACCTAGATATTAAAAATGCGTTTAATTCTGTGCACTGGGCAAAAACCATAGGCGCACTGTGTAATATCTTTGTGCCTTAAAATGTTCATATGAAGCTACTTGGAGGACAGCTGCATGTAGTATGAAACCTCAGCAGGTGTGAAAAGTCAAAAAATCTCAAGCGGCCTTCCCCAAGGCTCTGTTCTTGGTCCTTTGCTTTGGAACATTATGTACGACGGATCGCAATACTCATCATATTTCCACGGTGTAAAGTCAACGTACAGATTATGTGCCCTTCGTGTATGCTACGCGATCAGAACAGTCTTGGACGAGGCAGAATTGGTTGTCGCTGGAATGTACCCCATCGTTATACTGGCGGAGGACAGTAGAAAGTTGTGAAGAAATACTGAATATTTATTTCCAAGTAGTCGTTTTGACTGATATTGAAAGTTCAGGCGGCAGTCCACGCCATCAGACTATGTGCGGAGATAAACAGGGTAATCGTAATGGGAGAATCGCCATCCACAGTGATGCCCGTAGAGCGCGCAAAGCTTTTTAATTTTTCGAAGACAAAGCCAGGCTAGACTTCGAATCCATACAGAAGAATAAATATCTTAGCCAACGTAACTCCCTTGCCCAGCTACATATGATGAATACCACAAGGAAATGAGATAGGATGCTAAATAACTAGGGAGGCGGTGACCATAACGCCGGTAGGTAGTGCAATAAGTCCAAATACAATCACAGAAGAACTCAAGATAGAAGAAAGAAGAATGAGAACAGTAACGGTCGCGTTCAATAACACTACGCTAGGCAGAGTGCTCATTCAGGCGATATAGTTTAAAGAGATTGCAAATTTTAGTCAATCTCCCAAAGGAGTAATCAAGAATCGGCGCTGGCATTCCTGTGGGTCAAACGATCTCTGCCATTTCTGCGATACGACCACAATCGAATACGATCATATTTGGTGGAGATGCAAGGCAACTCTAGGCCAGGCGTCGCAACCAGTAGCTCGCGTTGGCTCGCAGTTGCTCAGATGCAGTTTTGTATCATATTTTTGGGTCCAAGTATTTTTTGCTAATACCGGAATGATGTTGTTGTACTTCATAGCAGCGTTGTCAAGAGCAAAGGACAAAATAGATGACTAGATCGTTGTGCGCACCTGGTTGGTTAGATGGCAGCACCATTTTGATACGCTTTCACTGGGATTCTTGATTTTATCCGCTTACATGATTCATTTTGTTCGTCAAGCGATTTGGATTTTCCGATGAATCTATTTAGGTTAGTTATGCTGAATTTGTATGAAAAAACTCCCGAGTGTGTCACACCTTATTCGTGCCAATGCTGGGCACTCGCAGTGTAGGACCGTTTCTTTACTTCACGCAAGATTAAAGCTACGGCATCAAGGGTTGTATGGAAGGCCCCTTTTAACTGCATGTTCACCAATGGGCCAATATCCCGTTATCTTGGCTCTTAATTTGACTATCGGCCCTATTATGGTTGTCGACGTCGATGTACTATTTTCATCAAAAATAGGCCTCACCAGTCCAACTGCGCTTACACTGACCACAGTAGTTTTGCGAGGAACACCTTTATGCAAAAATACTGTGGTCAGCGTAGCTGGAGTTCGACGTTGACGTCTTACGACGTATATCTTTCCTCGATCACTTTAGAAGTTCTTCTGTCTTTGACTTGTCATAATGCGGCAATATCTTCTTCGCAGTTATGCAGGCTTGAAGGTTGTTGCAACGTGTATCAGCCATACGTATAAATTGCAGATGCAGTTCCCTTTTGATGGAACCGAGTGGACAGTTTATTGTCTCTGATTTGAATTCACTAAAATAGGCCCTCTCATTTCCGTATATGTTCCTATGGCCGGGAAGCCAGGTGAGAGAGAAATTTCTGTTAATTCCGCCGCCGAGCTTAACGCACATTTGCAATCCCTAACTGTTTTACATTTTGTTGTTGTCATGTTTTTGGTATTGCGACCCTTTCGATTCCTGGTATTTCCACTTGAAAGATGCTAGCAGAGTTAAGTAGAATACCCCGCAATCACGCCGCAGTCCATTTTAGACCCATCAGTATAGATTTCAATGGAATTCTTCTCGACTACCCGACCCCTACTCCAATCCCGTCTAGAAGGAAACTTCAACTGAAAGTTTTTCTTGAGATATATAATCTCATTCTTTCCTTGATTCGATAAGCTTCCCAAGAATACCACTATGATCGTGCCGCAGTGCCCTCCAGTATCCAGATTCCTTGAGTCTGACTATCCAGGACGCGACAATTCCGCCGTAGGATCACACTAAGCGCATGAGATGGATACGACTTACTTGCTGTAGCATCTGCACAAGCTGCTATTTGTATACTTCGTAATTTCCTGACGATGTATTGTTTATCTAGTGCTGGCCACCAAATTAACGACGCCTACGTTAGCATTGGTCGTATGATAGCCGTGTACATCCAGAGAACAATCTTAGACTTTAATCTTTAGTGCCTACTGAATATTCTTCTGTATTATAATAAGATGGGCTACTCTATCTATATGTATATATCATATATTGTCAATCACTGATTTGTTCTGATTATATTCCTTTTAAATTACTGGACTCTTAAATTAAGTCAAGAATGTTTTTACTCTTCACTTACATATTTCTTTCTAAATATGTCAAATTTTTTATTTTTCTGTTACTCATATTGATATACATATTTCATTTACCTTATTCCTTTAATCAAACTGAATTTGCTTTTTTAAACATGTGGCAACCCTTCTTCGTGTCGTTTAGAAGTAAATTAGTTTCCAAACTAGTTCAATTGATACCCATATTGTAATATCTAATTCATTTGACTTATTAAATAATTTTAATAAAATTTGT